TCTAAGTGGTCTCTGAAGAATGTCAGACACGTACCGAAGTTAGAGGAATCTTATTTCGGTAGGTCAGCTTGGAGCAGAAGGCTATGTTACAACATTTACCGAAGATTCGTGGAAAATCTCCAACGGTACCATAGTGGTTGCCCGAGGCAATAAGACCGGTACCCTCTACCTAACTTCACACGCGAGTGACACCCTCGCGATTATTGCAGACAAGGAGAGTGTAGATCTGTGGCATAATAGATTAGGACACATGAGTGAGAAGGGTATGAAGATTCTACACTCAGAAGGGAAGCTAACCGGCATCGATTCGGTGGAAGTCGGTGTTTGCGAAGACTGCATCTTCGAAAAGCAGAATAGAGTTAGTTTTCTGAAGGGTGGAAGACCACCTAAAGCTCACAAGCTAGAGCTTGTTCATACAGACGTAAAGGGTGGAAGACCACCTAAAGCTCACAAGCTAGAGCTTGTTCATACAGACGTATGGGGTCCAGCTAGCATGTCTTCTCTTGGCGGTTCGGCATACTACGTCACCTTTATCGACGATCACTCGAGGAAGGTGTGGGTATACTTCATGAAGCACAAGTCGGAGGTGTTCAGCATCTTCAAGAAGTGGAAAGTCATGGTGGAGAACGAGACAGATCTGAAAGTGAAGTGTCTGAGATCAGACAATGGTGAAGAATATAATTTGGAGGAGTTCAAGAAGTTCTGTGCTCTGAACGAGATTCGTTTGGAGAGGACTACTCCAGGGACGCCGCAACAGAACGGCATAGCAGAAAGAATGAACAGAACGCTGACAGAGCGTACGAGGAGCATGCGTCTACATGCAGGTCTACCAAAAACTTTTTGGGCAAACGCGGTGCATACAGTAGCGTACTTAATAAATCACGGACCGTCAGTTCCATTGAACTTTGGGATTCCGGAAGAGGTTTGGAGTGGTAAGAAAGTTAATCTCTCACACTTAAGAGTCTTTGGGTGCGTGGCATATGTCCACATCAGTGACCATGTCAGGGACAAGCTAGAAGCTAAGTCATTGAAGTGTACATTCATTGGGTAAGACATTGATGAGTTCGGGTATCGTCTGTGGGATGAGAAGAATAGGAAAATCATCAGAAGCCGAGACGTCATATTCAATGAGGAAGTGATATACAAGGACAGGGACAATGCAAAGGTGGGCCAAAGCAGTGGGAGTAGCACTACGGATACAGACGCATCCGAGTACATGGACTTAGAGGAACTTCCAGATGGGGGAGACAACGTCGATTCTGACCAAAGAACGGAGGAGACTCCAGTCACAGAACCGACTACACAGGGCGAGGAGCTTAGGAGGTCATCCAGGGTACCCAAACCGAATCCCAGGTATCTCTCGTCACTAGACTACCTACTTTTGACAGATAGTGGAGAACCAGAATGCTATGAGGAGGCTATGCAAGTGAGCGAATCTCAGCAGTGGGAGCATGTAATGCAAGAAGAGATGGATTCTCTCCACTCGAACGAGACATGGGAGTTAGCCCAGCTACCTGCACAGAAGAAGGCCTTACATAACAAGTGGGTTTACCGAGTCAAGCAGGAGAGTGATGGAAGGAAGAGATACAAGGCCAGATTAGTCGTGAAAGGGTTCCAACAGCAGGAAGGAGTGGATTATATGGAAATATTTTCCCCAGTTGTGAAGCTCACAACCATCAGGGTGGTGTTGAGCTTGGTAGCTGCTGAAAATCTCTACCTTAAGCAGTTAGATATGAAGACTGCCTTTCTTCATGGCGACTTGAATGAAGAAATCTATATGAAGCAACCTGTTGGCTTCATTGAGGAAGGAAAGGAAGAGATGGTGTGTAGGCTCAAGAAGAGCTTATACGGATTGAAACAGGCTCCACGGCAGTGGTATAAGAAGTTTGATAACATCATGCAGAGTAATGGCTATGGCAGATGCAATTCAGATCATTGCTGTTACTTCAAAAGGTTCGAGTCCAACTATATCGTGTTATTGTTGTATGTTGATGACATGTTAGTGGTAGGACCGTGTTTACAGGAGATAAACCAGCTGAAGAAGCAGTTAGCAAAGGAGTTTGCCATGAAGGATCTGGGTGCAGCGAAGCAGATTCTTGGGATGCGGATCAGCCGAGATACGGCTGAGGGGACGTTGGAGTTGAGTCAGTCTGAATACATTGAGAAAGCACTTCAGAGATTCAACATGCAGAATGCTAAGGTCGTTAGCACGCCCCTTAGAAGCCAGTTCAAGTTGTCTGGTGAACAATCACCCAAGACTGATGCTGAGAAGGAGCACATGAGGAAGGTAGCCAGTTCAAGTTGTCTGGTGAACAATCACCCAAGACTGATGCTGAGAAGGAGCACATGAGGAAGGTGCCGTATTCATCAGCCATTGGTAGTCTGATGTACGCAATGGTTTGCACGAGGCCGGATATTGCTCATGCAGTGGGAGTTGTGAGCAGGTTTGCAAGCAACCCAGGAAAATAACATTGGGAGGCCGTGAAGTGGATATTGTGATATCTGAGAGGGACTACGAATATGCCACTGTGTTTCGGGAGAAAAGAGTTGGTACTGCAGGGATACGTGGATGCAGATTTTGTCGGTGATCATGATACGAGGCGAAGCACCACGGGATATGTTTATACCTTAGGGTCGACAGCAGTGAGTTGGGTCTCATGTTTGTAGAAGATTGTGACATTGTCCACAACTGAGGCAGAGTATGTCGCAGTGACAGAGGCGAGCAAGGAGATGATTTGGCTAACCGGGTGCCTGGATGAGTTGGGTTTGAAGCGGAGGAATGAAGTTCTTTATTGTGATAGCCAGAGTGCTATACACCTTGCCAAGAACCCAGTATTTCATGCCAGAACGAAACACATCGAGTTACGTTACCACTTCATACGCTCGATGATTAAGGACGGGAAGTTACAGTTGGAGAAGATTTTGGGGAGCCAAAATCCTGCAGATATGTTGACTAAATCAGTCACCATTCAGAAACTGGAGTTGTGTGTAACTTCAGTTGGCCTTCATATATAAGAGATGAGGACGGAGCCATACAGGAGAAGATGCTTGTTAAGAGAGAGCTTGCTGACTGCGGTTTAGTCTCAAAGTGGGAGATTGTTGGTAATGGGTGTAGACCCTTACCTTGTCAGCGGCGAACGAGGTGAGCTCCGGCGAAGTTGAGTTGGAGAAGGCAAGGTCACGTATCTTGAACTAGCGAGCTCGAGCGGAGCAACGTCGGGCGAAGGCGAGTTTTGGACTTGGGATCCTGCAGGCGGAATTTGACGGGCTGATGGCGAGTTTGAGGTAGGCGCTACAGGCGAGTTCTGAAGTCGAGCAGGCAGATTTGAGATTACGAAGGACTGCAGGCGATTTTGGGGCTTCTACGGGCGAGCTCGAGCGGTGCTCTCGACAGGCGACCTCAAAGCCTTGCAGGCGAGTTGGTTGCAGGCGATTTTTGAGCTCGAAGGCAGGCGGGTTCTGATTTCCCTCTTTCGCCTGTGTTTTGTTGAGAACAGCTGGACCCAGCTGTTTTGGCTAGGGTTTCCCTATTTAAGGGAACCTGAGCACGAGAAGCTCTAAGCCCCCGATTTTTCTTCAGATCATTAAACTCCAGAGGCGGCGGCCATTAAGGAGAGCTTCTTCAGCAGAGAATTTTAAAAAAGAAAAATTCTTGAGTTCCTGTAGCGATTTATTGAAGAGAGAGGAGATTTTACTGTTGTAAAATCTCGCGCCTTTTTAGAACAACAGATAGTTTCTGTTGGCTCTTCTTTTTGAGAAATCTCAAGTTGAGATTTGCTCTTTACAAGCTTTGTAATCTTCTTTAATATAAAGGAAATTATTTGTGTGGCTCCCGAGGACGTAGGCAAATTGCCGAACCTCGTTAAAATCGGTGTTCTTTGTTCTTGCAATTATTTTTGATTAGTAGTGATTTCTTTTTTCCATTGCTTAACACAAGATCCGGTAGGGCAATTCCGTAGAACGGGTGTCAGAGCGTATCTGATATTATCCCCAACACCAACTTGGCATCTTTAGTTCACTTTATGAGCCACAATGTTGGTAATGAATATAACAAACGAATATCAGGTAACATACAGGAATCTACGTCGTGGGCAGTTCAGAATATTCTTCGAACAACCAAACTGAAAGAGACTCGGAAGTTTAGGGAACCGATAAAATCATGACCAACATATCAGGCATGCAATGAGAGATGTTCTACTAAAAACCTGGTCATTAGAAGCAGTTCTGATACCTGACAATGCGAAATCAAGAAGAGAACAAGAACCACGACACCCATAGTTTCTTGAGGGTATCGGCACGATCAGCGCGCCTTTCAATAACCACTCCTAATTTTGGAACAAATAATTGAGATCCGAAAAGTGTTCAGCTTTTAGTTGCACGTCGAAGAGAAGCTCTTAATTTCGCAAGGCGGTGGCGGAAGCAGGGACCACCTTCGTGCAATCGGTGACGGAGATGTCCTTTTCCGGCACGGCTCATACCCAGTCTGCATGGAATTTAAGCAGCAAGGGAAGTGAGCCCCCACCGTTCTCTTCCCTCTGCTACATGGCACATAGATATGCACAGGAAAAATTCAAGCAGCTAACCGAAAGAAGACCGTGGCGTTAGAAATTAATCACATGTATGCCACACTTAGAAACCAAGATATCTCTAAACAAAAATCAATCGAGAACCTTTCCTTTCAAATAGCCTCCCCTTGGATTCTGATAATTACGTTAAGAAGCGCCGTGCAACTTACAAGGTCAAATGGAGAGGTGGCAAAAGAAGAGTAAAAAAAAAAAAAAAAAAAATCCTTCAGAGAAAAAAAAAAAAAAAAAAAAAGATCCTTCCTGTTGAACTGATTAACTGAATAATTGAAAAACCAAAACTCAGCCTCCACAACCTATCAAATGGTAGATTAGGACCTGAAACTCCACTTTCTCTCTTTGTATTCTTCTACTAACTTATAAATTGTCCTCACACAAGAAGCATTGAGTATATAAATCTCGGCAACAAACTTCCAACTTTATCCAAACCAAAGCCAGTTGTTTTATTCTCTGTATTTCAGAAAAAGCCCAAGTTTCCAATTTTTTTTTCCCTACCATATATTGGGGTCTTTTCGGATTTTTATTTTTTATTTCCTTTATTCTCATGAAGAGCCAAACTCCTATCAACAGGAGGCTGCATATCGGCCGTTTCTTTTTCTGCATGTCCTCTTCACCGCATTAATAAAACATCCATTACGTTTGAACTCTTTGTTCAAGCTGCTGGGTATTTATATATATAGCCAGTTATTCCGCAATCACAACTGAAGCCACCCCAGTTCTCAATAGAATTTTGGCCTCAGAGTCTGAAACCCACTTGCAATTCCTACAATATTCCTTGATTCCAAGTCATCTGCTGCTTAATTACTCCTCCTCTATAGCCAAATAATCCAGTATTTGCCAGACCTCAAATCCCAGATTCCCACATACACAGTGCAACACAGACTACATCTTGTACTTCATCTTCTCATCGCCATATGTAGTTTCAAATATTTCAGCCCGTGAGGATAGAAATTGTTTTTGCTCACTTCTTGAGCTCCATTTTTCTTCTCTGGCAATTGTCATTTTGTAACTCTCTCGAGTACGTTTCTTTATTTTACTTTGATGTTTCTTGGTTCATGAGATCAGTCTCCGTATTAATGACAATTGTAAACGGAATGGCTCTATGTAAGTGGGAATTCAAATCTACAAGCGAAAACCCATGCGCAGCTCTAGAATTCAATCTTAATGAGCCACTTGCTGGGCATGTGGAACCAACTCCGAAGCAGTTTTGGGTTCCTGGACCCATTATCATCGGAGCAGGGCCATCTGGCTTAGCCACTGCAGCTTGCCTTCAAGACAAAGGTGTCCCTTCTCTTATACTCGAGAAGGAGAACTGCATCGCCTCCTCGTGGAAGCTTAGGACATACGAACGACTAACCCTCCACCTCCCAAAGCAGTTTTGTGAGCTACCCCTTATGTCATTCCCTGCTAACTTTCCAACATACCCTACTAGAGAGCAGTTCATTAGCTATTTAGAATCTTATGTGGACCACTTCTCCATTAAACATTTGCTTGGGATGGAGGTCAAGTGTGCAGAATATGATTCAAGCATCGGATTCTGGAGAATCCGTGTCAACGACTTGCAGTTTATAACTCGATGGTTAATCGTCGCTACAGGGGAGAACTCAGAGGCCGTCGTTCCGGAGTTCAAAGGGATCATGGATTATAAAGGACAGGTCTTGCATACGAGTTATTATAAGAAAGGAGATGACTTTAGAAGGAAGAAAGTTTTGGTCGTGGGATGTGGGAATTCAGGCATGGAGGTTTGCTTGGATCTCTGTAACAATCAAGCTCAAGCCTCTATTGTTGTTCGAGATAAGGTAACAAGTAATAACCATCCCTTTTATGTTTTGTTCTTTTTCTAGTATGGGTTCCTTTGTTCTCTATCTACATATAGGAATCCTCCCAACCTTTCATTAACACAAATCTTTTCTTGTTTCTTTCTACCGTAGGTTACTTTTGTTCTAGTTAACTAAGATCTTCTCTATTGACATTATGTTTTTTGTCCTTTGATGTTGTTTTATCTTTTCCTGTGTCTGCTCTGATTCTCAATCATCTCTTAGTAACTCACTTGTTTGTTGCTTTGCTTTGTTTTGTTTTGTATACCTATTTCTTGATTGTAAATATATATATATATATATATATATAGAGTCTAACCATGATATAACTTCTTTTATATTGCAGATGCATGTCTTGCCAAGGGAAATACTTGGGATCTCAACCTTTGGTCTCTTAATGTGGCTTCTCAAGTGGTTTCCTATATCAGTGGTAGATAGTATCCTCCTATCCTTATCATGGCTTATACTAGGAAATACCGAAAGATACGGCCTAAGACGACCAAAAGTTGGACCCCTACAACTAAAGAATAAAACAGGGAAGACTCCAGTTCTGGATGTTGGAACCCTAGCGAAGATAAAGAACGGTCAAATACAGGTCTGTACTTTTCTTCTATTAGCACTACATACTATGAACATGAAATCTATGAAACAAATTTTTCACTACACACCGGTCATCAGCAAGATATTGATGATTTATGATACTATTTCTCATGGAATAGCAGGATATCGAGGAATACGTAAGAAAAAAAATAAGTTTAAGCTAAACAAGAGAACAGTTAAGAAGATATATAAGATGTTAAATTTTGGAGTATTAGCAAAAATATATATAAGATGTTAGTTTATTTAATTTTATTTGTTTATATATTTATTTTGGTTATAGAGAACAGTTAAGAACATACGTTCGATAATACTCATTTTTTATAGGTGGTTCCTGGTATAAACCGATTCACAGAGAACGGTGTGGAGTACGTAGACGGGAGGCAGGAGAATTTCGACTCTATCATCTTGGCAACTGGCTACAAGAGCAACGTGCCCTCATGGCTAAAGGCAACTATCTAATCTACTATTCCTATATCACACAAATTCTCATGCTTGTAAGCAATTCTACCTTATACACATGAAGATAATGCTAATACAGTTTTAGTACTTTGTTCCAAAAAAATATTTAGGATAGTAGTATGGCCCATGAAGTAGGAAAAACATTTCTAACAAAGGTAAGGATGTAGGTAAAGGATGATGACAATTACCATGTCAAAGTGAAACAGTAAATGGCATCCCCTTGTAAGTAAGTAAATGGTAATGTTGGAAGCGTTGCACACTCCCATACTACTACATATACCGAGCAGCCATGCTTGGAAAGAAGTGATTCTTGCTATTCAAGGGGGGAAGAAAGGGAAACTATATACTAAGAAAGATGAGTTTAATCTGGATCTAGAGATACAGTTGTCTGAAAGAAAACAAAAGACAACAGAAAATAACCGAAAATTTCAACAGGCAGCCTTATCCTAATGTAAAAGTTACTAGAATACATAAATAGAGATGTATAATCTATGTGAACTCATTTACGAAGCGAGGGCAATGAAAGAGATGAGAAAGATGGGTACACGCAAAAAGCGAAATGTGCTAGAACCTGAAAACATTTAAGTCATAAACACAAATAACTATAAAAATTGCAAGCCTTTAACTTAAAGAACCTTCAAATAGAATACAGAAAAATAAAATGCATAAAACAGAAAGCAACAGGTTACAGCCATTCATTTGTTGTGATAAAGTACAAGCATGGGTAGTAATTAGAATTTTAACCAATTACAACATGGTGGCATTTTAACGGGCATAATATATATTAATACTCCTGACAACTCACCTAGGTATGCAGCTAGAGTATATGGACAGTAATAGAATGGACCATATGGAGTACATGATGGAGATACACCTTGCATTTTGATCATTTGCTGTGGTTCGTTTTCAGTAAGAACAATAACGTGGTAGCCCATCAATGAGGTGGTCCTTTGCACATTTATTCACTTGAGAACCACTGCCATTCACGTGATCTAAGAAGGACCTTACTACCTATTATGTTAAGAACCATCACGATACATGCATTCATGAATGCATCTATACATGTATCTGTACCCATGCTTATGTATATATGTACGCCATATGTTGATTTTGTTCTTGTTCGTTTCAAGGAAGCGGAGTTTTTCAGTAAAGAAAATGGGTTACCAAGGAATCCATTCCCAGGCAATTGGAAAGGAAAGAATGGATTATATGCGACAGGCTTTACCAGGAGAGGATTACTGGGATCTTCTACTGATGCAAAAAGAATTGCAGAGGATATCGCATCTCAATGGAACTTGAAGCCGAAGCATCCACCTTCAGATCTGTAAAAATAGCGACATACCTCAGACCAAACAATAAGGACAGAAGCAACTTGTATCATAACAATAATCCTACAGTTTTCTTTCTCCTTCAGGCAGTGTGCAATGATAGCTAAAAAGGAAAAATCAAAATGCGCATCTTGGCTTGTGAAGCATAATGAGTATAGCAGTATTATTAAGTCATCCCTTCCACGGGCATATATATTGCTTTTTCTTGGATTCCTTGCTTCATGTTGCACCAACCTTTATAATTCATCATAGGTCACCAGCACTATCTATATATATCATTGAGTCTCAAAACTCTAACAGAGAGAGAGAGAGAGAGAGAGAGAGAGAGCTATAATCAAAGCTTGAAAAAATATGACAGATTTCGTCTTGCTTACTAGTGAACTTCCTAAACAAAGATATATGCGGTAACGCCTTATCACCTGCTGCCTAAGCACTCAATCAAATTTGTGAAAGATAGTAATCATCCTTCTCTATCTCATTATAAACAGGTCAGCAGTCATTCTTGCATCCAACACTCTCCCGTCATCCACTTGCCAGCACAAAAGGAAATGATTGCCGTCAAAACAAACAAGAAACGTCTTGGTGGAATCTATGTAAAAGTTATTTCTTAACACACCAGTTATTTCTTAACTACTGTACTGCAGGTTTTACCAGACGTGAACAACAGATACTTTTCCATATGATTCACCAAGCATGGTCCACGGCATCCCAGCATGCCCCAATAAAAGAAGAATAAAGATTCCAAATAAATTCCTATAAAAGGAAGTGGTAATCATCAACTAGAATCCACAATCCCTGTGTCGCATCACAGAAGAATTCATTACGTCACAATCCAAACGAGAACATCCTTCCCTATGTATTATGGTCCAGACATCACTGTCATGAGTTGAAAGTTCCATGATAACTAGATTGGTCCCCTAACCCTCAACCAGCTGATCAGGAAAAGGAGAGCACAGCCTTCGCATGCTAGTAAAGAGGACAACTAGTTAGTTTTCCAATTGGTGACATAATCCCATAGATCACAACAAGGTCACCAGAAGCTTTTTTTCTCCGGAGTCTCTCTGTTGTTTCTCATGTTTACACTGAAGCAAATAGGCATCAAAAGTTTGTTCTCCATAATGCATTAGTTCGAAAGGGACGAACAATCATTCAGAGTTTTCTGCTATTTTGTCAGCTTTTAGTTTAGTTGCAGCGGGGGCTTCACAGACACAGAAAATGTCTATACAAGAGTGGAGAATAACAACACTGAATAAGAATAGTGAATACAAAAAGAACAACACACAAGGATTTAACGTGGTTCGGTCAGTATGACCTACGTCCACGGGCGAGAACAGCAGAGAACTTCACTAATCACAAAAGAGAAGATTACAAAGGAAATCACTGTTGTGTGCGGCGAAAGCCGATTCGGCAAATCAATAGCACACACAAGAACCAATAAATAGATCCCAATAGCACAAGCAATATCCAATCACAGCGAGAACACACAATATACGTGGTTCGGCAAATTATCTACGTCCACGGGGCAAGGAGGGGGGTTACTATTAGAAATCAAGGGGAATACAATTAGGGTTACAAATCTTACCACAAACCCACAAATAAGCCCTAATTTCTCCAAATGGCTCCAACAATAGAAGCCCCAAATCTCCTCTTTTTTCAGCTCAAAATCCTCTCCCTTAAATCCTAAAAACGAGTTAAGGGTATATATACAACTCCCAAACGAAACGGGTTTGAAAACCAAACCTAACCCAAAACCGCTTCGGCGGTCGACCGTCACGGTCGACCGCGCAGGTATCGCGGTCGACTGCCGGGTCGACCACACCAACTCCAGAGACTTTCCAAAGATAGCAGAAACTTTTGCGGTCGACCGTCACGGTCGACCGCCAAGGATCCAGAGGCACAGTGAGGCCCCGTGCACGACTTTGGTCGACCGCCAAAGACCCGCGGTCGATCGCCAAAGACCCGCGGTCGACCGCCAACCTGTCAAACTGCTATTCTTGAGCCCAAACCTGCTATTCTTGCCAATCCTACAAATCTCCACCTCGACAAACGTTTTGTCAAAACCGAGCCGACACCAAACACCCCCAATCAAACTCAACTAATACAACCGGCTACATCTGCAAGACTGCCTACGTATCCTTTTGCCCAAGGAATCAAGCCGAACGTAGTTCATCCAAATGGCCGCCAACGGCCTCAACATCGAAGAATGTTCAATAAATTCAAACAGTGACCAAACTTCACCTGGAACTACTTTGGTCAACATATCAGCAGGGTTGTCCTTAGTGTGGACCTTCTCTAACGTGACATCACCATCATCCAATACGTCACGTACAAAGTAAAATCTGACATCAATGTGCTTCATGCGTGCATGGTAGACTTGGTTCTTAAAGCCAAATAGATAGCCGACATGTTATCACAATATACCTGAATGGTCTCCTGTGTAATCCCCAAATCATCCAACAAACTATGTAGCCACAAAGTCTCCTTCACAGCTTCAGTCACCGCCATATACTCAGCATCCGCAGTAGAGAGAGTCACTGTAGACTGAAGAGTGCATCTCCAACACACCGGTGCACTAGCCAATGTAAAAACATAACATGTAGTGGACCGACGCTTGTCAAGATCTTCGGCATAGTCTAAATCCACGTAGCCAATACAATCACGTTCTGTCTTATCATTCTTCTCAAATATCAAACCAACATCCACGGTACCCTTAATATACCATAGAATCCACTTCATGGCCGCCCAATGACCCTTCCCAGGGTTGTGTATATACCTAGATACAATGCTCATGGCCTATGATAAATCTGGCCTCATACACACCATAGCATACATCAAGCTACCCACTGCACTGGTATATGGAACTTTGGATATGTAGTCCCGATCCTCCACTAAAACTGGTGACATCAAAGCTGAAAGCTTGAAGTGGGGAGCTAATGGAGTACTCACCACCTTGGCATTGCCCTCAAAACTGAATTTTTTCAGCATCTTCTGCAAGTAACTCCTCTGTGTAAGCTTTAATCTCCCCTTCACCCTGTCTCTCTCAATCTCCATACCCAATATCTTCTTAGCCTCTCCCAGGTCATTCATCTCAAATTCAGATGACAGCTCCTTTTTTAATTTCCCTATAGCTGAAGTGTTCCTGGAGGCAATGAGCATATCATCAACATATAATAACAAGTAAATGTGCTCACCATCCTGTAGCTTGTACATATAAACACACGGGTCATAAGGGCTCCTCATATACCCTTGGCCAATCATAAAGCTATCAAACCTCTTGTACCACTATCGCGGTGATTGTTTCAGACCATAAAGAGATTTCTTCAATTTGCACATCAATTCTTTCTTTCCTGCAGCTTTGAACCCCATGGGTTATGTCATGTAGATCTCCTCATCTAAGTCTCCATGTAGAAAGGCCGTCTTCACGTCTATTTAGACAAAATCCAAATCTAGCTGTGCCACTAATGCCAATAGAATCCGAATCGACGAATGTTTCAAAACGGGTGAAAACACCTCGTTGTAATCAACGCCCTCAAGCTGTGCATATCCCTTAGCAACCAATCTGGCTTTGAACCGAATGCCCCCAATAGAAGATCCCTCCTTCTTAGCATACACACACTTGTAACCAATAGCTTTCTTACCCTTAAGTAGCTTTGCAAGTTCCCAAGTATCGTTCTTCTGGAGAGATTGCATCTCCTCCTCCATAGCATTCCTCTACCTAATAGAATCAGGGCTAGACTCTGCCTCCCTAAATGTGAAAGGAACCAAATCATCAACGACCTTCATTGATAAAGCATATGCCACAATGATGTCATCATATCTAGCTGGCCGATGAATCACTCTCCTCGGTCTATCTGCTGCAATGGACTCCTGAGCATGACCCTACTCCTGAACCTCACCATCCACTGTATCCTCCAAATGCCTGACTGTCATCTCATCTCCTCCCAGTGTCACATCTGTAGGAGCCTCAATGGACACAGTGTTGTCTGGAGTGGGTGGAGTCACATCATCCTCCACCTGCTGTGATATCCCTCTGGTCTGATCTTCCTCCACCCGCTGAGGAACTCAAGGCTTCATCATGTACGCCTCATCAAATGTGACATCTCTGCTAATGACCATCTTTTTATCTTGTGAATCCCATAATTTGAAGCCTTTGACACCTTCTCTAAACCCCACAAAGACAGCCTTCATTGCTCTCGGATTCAACTTTTCATCACTAACATGAAAATAAGCTGGACACCCAAATATCCGAAGCGTCTCATAGTCACTAGCCACAGAACCAGACCATCGCTCTATCGGAGTCTTCCCCTATATCACAGTGCACGACAACCTGTTAACGAGATGGCTCGTATAAACTAACGCCTCGGTCCAAAAGGATCTAGACAATCCACTCTGTGTCATCTAACATCGCACCTTCTCTAGCAATGTACGGTTCTGTAGGCGTCAAAAAAATGCTAATAGATATCCCAAGCATAGAGAAGATCACTCAAAAATTCACAAGAAAGGATTTCATACTGTTTTGGAAAAATCAAAACAAATATGAACTGTCTCGCCAGCGAGACAGTCTTTGCTGTCTCGCCAGCGAGACAGTCTTTGCTGTCTCAAAACTACATTTGTAACTGCCCTACACGTGTCCATTAACTGCCAAGGGACGTGGGAAACATCATGGGCGAAAATCACGTGGATAACTGCCAAAATAACGGAGTTTGAAACGTGAGAGAACAGTTACAGCGAGAAACTGCCATTTTCCGAGACAGCATTTACTGTCTCGCTGAGCGAGACAGCAAATTTACTGTCTCGCGGGTCGAGACAGCAAACGCTGTCTCGCCCAGCGAGACAGTAAACACTGTCTCGCCGTACTGACTTCTTCGATTGTTAAGTTTTTGCAGTTACTGACCCTTGAGGCTATAAATACCCCCCTAGGGTCACTTCTGACGAGGATGCAAACACTGTCTCGCCGTACTGATTTCTATGATTGCTGAGTTTTTGCAGTTACAGACCCTTGAGGCTATAAATACCCCCCTAGGGTCACTTCTGACGGGGATCGAGCATTTGTTAGAGCATTCCAGAGCAGAGAGAGAGCAGATTTGAGTTCTTTTCTTGCAACGCCTTGAAATTAAGCTTCGACTTGATTTTAAGAAGAACGACTATCTTACTTCGATAAGATATCGTTTCAATTTCTACT